ATGGCCAACTGGGGCCATGAGGACCTCTGGACATGAGGTGCTGTAGAGGGCCATGCTGGACCAGTCCTGCCCCTCACTGGCCCTGGGATAGCTGGCCCTGCCCCTGGCTAAATGCTGTAGCAGGAAAGTTAGCCCTCTATCATGAAAGAGCTGCCTCCTCCCCCTATACTTACTCCTCCCACCGCCAAACTTGGGAGAGATTGCCCCACTCCTCATCACAGGCATAGGAGAACTGGCCCCATGGCATGGGCCTAGGAAAGCTGGCTCTACCCCTTACCTGAGGGGATGGTTCCAGTACCCTGGACTGACAAGCACAGATACCACCCAGGTCTACATTCTAGGCCTTGGGTTGGCCTACCCTAACATCTATGACCTGCTGGAGCTGGTAAGAGACTTGTCCTGCAGAATGACAGCCACAGAATACCCATGACTCAGGGCAACAGAAGAATATCTGAAAGAAGTTTTGGTGAGGGTCTAGTGATAGTGTGCCAGAGGCCTTGAACCAGACCAATGATTACTCATATTTGAAATGAACATTTTGTTGGTGAGGCTGATTGAACAAAAGGGTATACTACGTGACACACCACAGCACCCAATGTCACTAAGATGAATGAAGAGGTATTGGAAAGACAGAGGAGGGAGGTGGGGTTTTTGTTTGTTTTGTTCTTAATTAATTTTTAGAGGAGTTTCCTTTGAGGGGCTGTGGATATAGAAACACTAGGAGGTAAGCAGAATTGGGGTTTGTGACATGAAATTACCAAAGAACCTATGGGAGTGCAAGCTGGTACAGCCCCTTTGGACTTCAACCTTCCTCAAGACCCAGTAATACCACTTTTGGGTATCCAAAGGATGCTCAATTGTGCTACAAGGACATGTGCTCAACTATGTTCATAACAGCATTGTTTGTCATAGCCAGAACCTGGAAACAACCAAATGCCCCTTGACCAAAGAATGGATAAGGAAAATGTGGTACATTTACACAATGGAGTACTACTCAGCAGAAAAAAATAACGGCATCTTGAATTTTGCAGGAAAATGGATGGAGCTAGAAAACATCATATTGAGTGAGGTAACCCAGACCCAGAAAGACAATTATCATATGTGCTCACTCATAAGTGGTTTTTAAACATAAAGCAAAGAAAATCAGCCTACAAATTACAATCCCAGAGAACCTAGACAACAATGCGGACCTTAAGAGAGACATACATGGATCTAATCTACATGGGAAGTAGAAAAAGACAAGATCTCCTAAGTAAATTGGAAGCACGGGGACCTTGGGAGAGGGTTGAAGGAGAGGGGAGAAGTAGTTGAAGTGGTGCGGGATAATTGTCTGTATTCTGTCAATCATGTTTTAAATAAATGCTGATTGGCCAGGCAGGAAGTATAGGCAGGTCAACCAGATAGGAAGTAGAGGCAGGGTGATGAGAACAGGAATATTCTGGGAAGAAGGAAACTTCTTTTGGCAGACCTTCCCAGACTACAGAAGAAGCAGGATGTGACCTACCCCACTGAAAAAGGTACTGAGCCATGTGGCTAACATAGATATGAATAATGGGCTAATATAAGTTACTAGAGCTAATAAGAAGCCTGAGCTAATGGGCCAATCAGTTTATATCTAATGCAGACTCTCTGTGTTATTTCTTTGGGACTTGCCAGCTGTGAGAACTGGGCAGGACAGAAACCCCAACAAGCCTGGCCCTCATGTTACAGGGAGAGGCAGGGATGGGAACAGAGAAAAATGTAGAGCTCAATAAAATCAAATATATATATATATATATATATATATATATATATATATATAATAATACTTTTAAAAATATTTAGATGCCCACAAATAAGCAGGAAGAAGTCTTAAGAATCCGCTGCCCCAATTCCTTTAACCTGTGGTGCCTAGCCTCCTGCCTTTTTTATTATAAAAAAAGAGATGGGAATGTAATAATCTGTCTCTTTAAGAGACAAGCCACGCCCACTCCCTCCCCCATCCACTGAGGCAAGCTGATCTTCAGCTTCCAGCCTAAGTTCTCTCCTTTCCATCCTTCTCTTGGAGAGGCAGCTCTCTCTCTCTCTCTAAATCCAACCTCACTCTACATGGTGTGCCTATCTGTCTGTCTCTCACCCACCACCACCACATGGCTAGGTTGCTGAGGATGCTGCAGGGGACACCTCTGGGGACCAGCCACCTTCGGAGACCTGCGGCATGGTCTCATGCACAGTCCCTGCCTAGGACTGGTTGCCCTCGGGACCCCCTGCCCACTGCCTGCCCACTGGGATTCTGCAGCAAGCTACTCGGGGATCCGCAGAAATTTTTAATAATCCATTATACTTACCTTCTAGTTTTTGTTTAGTTTAAATCTTTATAACAAAAGCCACACAATTCTTTTATGAATATGTTTAACTATCATGCTTTTATACAAATAAATAAATAAATACTATTTTGTGGAGGCTGAGAAGTGTGGACCCATTTCCACTTGTCTGATGGTCAGAGAGTTTGAATTACTCAAATGATCAACAAGCATAGTTGCCCATCCCAACTCAGGATGTGACTGCTTGGTTCTTTTGACATTAAGATAGCTCCATTCAATCCTGACAGGTGATCAGGATATACAAACATACTTCTGCTCCTTCTTTTGTAACTGAGGTCACCTGGGGAAGGGCAACCTTCAGGATCTGTGACCTAGAGCAGCTTCACTACCTAGAAAACAGAATGCTAATGAGTCTCAGAGTGATAAAGCAATCGACTGTGTGTGTTATCCTTTGTATCATGTTAATAAAAACTTGTTACCTTTCCCCCTCATTTATGTTGGGAATAAAAGCTGTGAAAAAATTAATGTGGTGATTTCAGAATTTCAGTCACTGGAATGCCCTCCTGATACTTTTTCTATGGTTTCTATTCTGTTATTTTATATGCATCCTCATAGTCTTTACTTATAGTTCTAAAATTCCCATGCCCCTCCCCTGGTAAGAAGTAGTCTGGTCAAGGGCCATGAGAGGCACAGCAGGATAACTAGCGGTCAACAGGCCCAGCTACCAGCAGAGTGGTTCTTGGCCTCACCTGGCAAGGCCACTGAGTTACTGACTGTGGAAATTGATTGCTCCTATCTGTAATTTCTCTCATGAGTCACTTCATCTCTTCCCTAAGAAAAGCTTTGTGTGTTTATCGCATGAAAATATTCCATCTACTAGGCACATATATGTGTGGGTAGTCTGGAAGATGACTTCTCATCTGGCTGTATAATTGTGATATATAGAATATATATTGGGTGCCTTGAATTCTCCCACAACTGACTTGGGAGACAGCAGCCTCAGTTTACCCCTGCTCTCCTACTTACCTTCACCTCAGTTTTATTGATACAAGATCTTAGTCTAGGAAATTAACTGTTTGTGCCTTTACTTCTAAAGATACAGGAAAAAGCTCTGGCTCACTTATCCAGCCCTGGAGAAAGGAATTCCTTCTCATGTGGGCATCAGCGAGAACAAGTACCTGCTGCTTAACCCGAAGCTGGATTTTACACTAAGTAGCCATAGCTTTTCCTTTTGATCTAGCCAATTTAGGTGTAATCTCTAGAGCTGAGAGACTCCCTTTAATCAGCTAACACTTGGTGAAAATGCTAATGCAGATCAAACACCACCCATTTTCCTCTGGCAGATTACCCCAGTTGCCCTGGACACAAGGCTGAGCTCCCAGCCACCGCTGAAGAAAGTGCTTAGAAAGTGCACAGCGCTACTGTGTTTTCTTACCTTTTCTACACTTATTTGTTTACAAACTTCTAGCTTAACTAACCACACAAGTGTAGTTTAACAAACAAAATCCCTTTCTCCCCCCTAGAGATCATAGTCCCTTCTTCTATTTACCCGTTTTGCCTCGTAAGATATGCCCAAGCGTTTCACAAGTCACGCCCCCACTTAGCCAATAAGTAAGATACAGGCACCTGCTTTGTGAGCCCTTATCTGTTTTCATGGCCCTGAGAAATGCATGCCTGGTACCCTTGCTGTTGCCAGAGAATTGCTGATTGTGTCTGCATGTGTATATAAGCTGGAAACTCTGCAGCAGAGAGAACAATAAATGGCAGATAATGAGAAGAAAAGGTGAGCTGGTTTCCTTAGCCCTCAGATCCTAGTTCCTTTGCTTATGGTAATGTCTCCTTTGAACCCTGAGAGGAGGTTTGTAAGACTGCCCCCCCCCGCCCCCGTAAAAGCCTTCAATACTATCTGACCTTAGAGATACCACCTAGAATAAATATTACATATTTCTTCAAAATCTCCATGGTTTCTGTTACACTGTTTCTATCAACATCTAATTTGGAGGAAGTTTTAATGAAAATAAAAGTTAGACTCTTGCTAATGTATACTACTGTGAACCTGGCAACTGGACATAGCAGAGCACTTTCTACAACAGCAATGGAGCAGAGGGATGAGGGCAAAGGATTTCTGCAGGAATGATTTGAAAGCTTCATAATAAAAATTTTAATCTATTTCTGAGGCCACACTGGAGAGAAGACCCCAGCCTCTGGCTGCAATGGCCCCACAGCCCCATCTAGCCCTCAAAGGAAGGCCACAGTGAAGGACAGCTAGAGAGATGGGAACATGTGACAGGCTCAGTGACTTTACATGTTATTTTCTAGCAGTTTTTGTGCTTAATTTTAGTTTTCCCTTTTGCTTGTTTTTAATGCATTAGTTCATCTATATTCCATTCTTTTAAATGCGCAGGCCCTGAGGAATAGATGGTTATAAAAGGTTTTACCCTATTTCAAACTTCAAGCCAGTATGGTTTATGACCCTTTTATTTCTATGTACTGTTTTCCATGATTACTAAAGTTAAACAAGTATAAACCTTGATTACTGAAAATAGAAAGTCAGAGTGTGCAAGAATTATTAACATTACTTAAGAGATTCTTACCCAGTCTTTATATAATGAACAAATATATATTGTGCCAATAAAAATATACTCCGCATTGCATTGCTTGGCATGGAAGAAGAAAACAGAAATGAACGTGGCCAACCTGTGCTTTCCTCATGTAGACCAAAGGCTCTTTGAGATGCTCGGGAGGTGCAGAAGGATGACTGGGCAATGGATACCTAGGAGCAGAAAGAGACGGCTAAATAGCATTTTGAGCTCAGAATAATGAATTCTCTTAGTAAGAAGTTACTCACCTCTGAAGTCCATGCTACAAATGAAATAGAATATCTGTTAACAGTTCAGGTATGTATGCCAGACCTAATAGAAGTTTTAATTATACCGTTCTAGTAATGTGTAATGTTTTTGCTTTTTATTTCACACCGGGTAGCAGATAGTATCCCTGGCAGGCTTGGAACTTGCTATACTGACCAGGATGACCTTGAACTGGTCCCAACTCTGCCCCCAAGTGCTGAGATTATGGGTGTGCAACACTATGCCCAGCTAAAATGTAATCAGTTAAGAACAGATGCATTCTGGCTTGCAGTACTAGTCCCTAGGAAGTCAGATATCCAGGTGCCATCTGGAGACAGAAGGTAAGAGGCTCACTGGACAAACAGCTAAAGCCTGGCCTTTTATAATTTGGAAGGGTGAGTAAGGCTCCTGTGCCCTGATGGTTCTGAAGAGTCTCAGCTGGTAACACTGCTACTATGGCAAATACATTTCACCCATAAACTTGAAGGGGACATTTAAATCATAGCAGACCACTTAGACAATTGCTGGGTCCCCTCTAAGGGCAACACAAAACAGACTAAGACATGGTCTAGGCATACCAACCTGAATCCCATGAGCCATAGGTGCCCAAATATAGCTATGAATATGACTCAAGAAAAAATTATAAACCTACTTGTCTTAGTTAGGGCCTCTATTTCTATAAGGAGACATAATGACCACAGCAACTCTTTTAAAGGAAACCATTTAATTGGGGCTGACTTAGAGTTTCAGATCGTGGGAAGCATGGTGTTCAGGCACCTGGCAGGCAGCACACAGTGAATGTCACACTGAGCATGGCTTGAGCATTTGAGACCCCAAAGCTTGCTCCCAGTGACCACTTCCTCCAACAAGGTCACACCTCCTAATAGTGCTGCCACTCCCTACAAGCCTATGGGGGTCATTTTCTTTCAAACCACCGCACTACTTAAAACATTTTTGGATTCCTTGCAATTTCTTTGTAACTTGATTGAGTAGTTGAGTATGAACATTTCAATCTCAAAACATTGGGCATGTCAGATAGATTATGCTTCCATAAAATGCTGATAATATGAATTAAATTTCTAAAAGTAGCTATAAAGATTGTGCTCCTCCCCCCTCTTATTCTTTTAGGGCAAGAGTGCTGGGCATTAAATCTAGGTCCTGATGCATAAATAAGTCAAAGAATATGAAGTGTTTAAGACACTGAAACAAAGTAAGCATTTCAGCAATTCAAATTATCTCCAATATAACCTGGATACTTGTGAATACAATAGCAAACATGTATTATTTTAAATGAATGGAAATTGAAACAAGGTGTGCAGTCTGAAGAGGGAAGTACCAAACTGAACTGGAGTGGCAAATTTCATGTCAGTAACAGAATGTGGAAGACTTTCTGTTCACACAAACCTAAAATCTTTAAAGTGTTTATTAAAACAAAGAAAATGAGGTAAGCTTTATTAGGCATATGTGTGTGTACGTGTGTGCGTGTGTATACGTGTGTGTGCATGCGTACATGCATGCGTGTGTGCGTGTGCATGCTTGTGTGTTTAGATCCAGTTATTTAATATTACCTAACAAATATTCATTCCTTACATTTTGCTTTTAAAAAGATTTATTTTTGCCTTTAATTAAGCATTTGTGGGGGGAGGAGGTCCACGAACAAGTGCAGCTCCCATTTTGCCTGTTTTATTCATCTATCCAATGGTTAATGCTAATGAAAAGTATAATAAAACTCATTATATATACCAGGTTGGCTTAGAAACTCACAGAAATCCACCTGCTTCTGCCTCCTGAGTACAGGGAATAGAGACCCTGTGTCAAAATAGAAAAAGAAAAAGAAAGAAGTGAAGGCAGATACAACAGAACACTCTGCGTCCACCTTCTTCTTTTGGCTTACATCAGTGACGACACATTTTCCCTATTCTCAATATGCGATCCCCTGGACACAGAGCCTGTCTAATACAAGAGCCTCAGCTTCTCCCAGGCTTTACTCAAGTTACAAGTATTCGTTATGAGTATTCTTAACACCTTATCCAACCTTTCAATCAGAGAAGACCCAACCAAGCTTGCTAACCCTGATCTAGCTATGTGACTGGATTTTTAAGACTATCTAATCTTGGAGTTCAGGTCAAAGTCTCCCTGTACTCATTATGAGTTACAGACTTTATCTAGTCTTTTAAAAAAATCCAATTCTATGTGTGTTTCCATGCGTGTGTGATGTGTGGGGTTCCCCTCTGTATGCTGTGAATACCGTTGGTTATTAAAGGACTATCTTGGGCATGTGCAGGGTATAATAGAGGTAGGCAGGGAAAACTAAAACAAAAGTGCAGACACAGGAACTCCATAGTCCTGTGTGGGAGCAGGAGGTGAGCTGAGTGTTCTAATCATCCCACTGGCACACAGTGAACACTCCATGAATAAAGGACAAATAATGGGGTGTTGAATGAACCACTAAGCTGACATTCTGAAGTATATATATATATATATTGTTTGGTTGGTTTTTTGTTTGTGGTTGGTTTTTCAAGACAGGATTTCTCTGTGTAGTTTTGGTGCCTGTCCTGGAACTTGCTCTGTAGACCAGGCTGGCCTTGAACTCACAGAGGTCTACCTGACTCTGCCTACTGAGTTCTGGGATTAAAGGTGTGCACTACCATCACTAGGCTTTGGAGATATGTTTTTTAGAGCAAAAGTTCTATACACTTTAATAAACCCTGATGGTAAATCAGGGTTCTTAGTAATAATAGTAATCTTGCAAAGAAAAAGATATGTTTAGAATGATCAGTTTGTAATAACAGAAAGAAGTATGATATTCAAAATTTAACAATAAAAAGAACATAAGTATGATGAGAACAATCCCATTACCTAATTACACTGGATGGATACATTCTCTATAAACAAATTTGGTAATATAGATAGTACCACCTAATCATTATTTATTCAGACCAGACTGTAGTGATTTGTGTTAACTTACTAGAAACCCTGTAAGTATACTAATGAGACATATATATACATATAGACAGAAACACTAATTTTACTACTTACAAAAGAAATCTACTTAACCGAAACAGCATCTAAAAATACACAGAAAAGAACTCACACATTCAGTTCACTATAAACAGCATTCTGAAGTTTCTTCTCCCAACCTGTTTTTCAGTTAAAAAAATAAATATTAGTGTCTTAAATATACAACATAGTAAAATTTTTTAAACTTACAAAATGTATTCATTTTATGTGTGTGTGTGTGCACCTGAATGCATATATGCCCATCAAAATTTATGCATGAACCTGCAAGCGTCAGAAATGGGCAACAGAGCCTCTGGATCTAAAATTACAGGTTGTTGTGGGCTGGGAACTAAACCAGAGTCCTTTGGAAGAGCAGTCAGTACTCTTAACTGTTGAGCTATATCTCTAGCCCCAACTTAATAAAACTTAACTCACTAAAATGTTGGCATCATGGTCATTTATGGAAGAATTTTGCCAATCATTAACTGCTATGTAAGTAAATCTATTGACTCATTCTCTCGAGTTAAGAGTAATGCCTTCTTCCACTGTCAACATGCCAAATGAATGCCAACGTCTTTGGACTGATGCTATGATGGATGTGTTATGGAGACGGATAGGAAACCATCTGGTCCATACTAGAGACAGAGCACCAGAACCAGTTTCTGTTGACTAGTCAGCAGCAAAAGCAGAGTGAATATTACAAGGAGCTGCCGTCTAATAGCTCAGCACCCACATGCAAGTGTTGATGCCAGGTCATCCCTTCTTGTCCAAAAAAAAATTAAGATTTTCTTTTTGTTTTGTTTTGTTTTCTTCTAAAAGCATAGAAAAGTAAGGAAATGAAGGAGAAGAATCATAGCAGGAAGTAAAACAACCAGCTACTACGTAAGGATATATTCGCCACACGTGTGACATGTTCTGAGTAGTAAGAAAGCAACTGACTACTGCAAAGCAGCCATTTCTACAGTGTCCTTGAGTGTTTGCATAATTTTATTAAAAATTGCGAATTCCACTCCTCTCCAAACAGAAGGCCTCAGACAAGTTATACCAGTTTTGAGGAAGAAGCCCAAAGTCTGAAGGTGCTTAAAGATAGGGGGACTTTACAAACCTGATACTTTAAAGAATTCCTTAATATCTTCTTTGAGTGACTCAAGTCTGATCTCAGGTCTCTGGAGGCAGGCCTAGATTTTTGGAAAAGAAGACAAAGGGAAAAGAGAAGTGGAAAGTTACAAGTCATTTGAGTTCGTGTGTAAATCCAACGAATGTGTAGAAGGAAACACTGATGTTTTCAAATGCACTTGGAGGTTATCACAGCGCAGACGCACCTGGACTGCCTCACCATAAAGAAAGTTTCACTACTCTCATGAGTGCACACCAATATACACAAAGCACAAGGATGTACATCTTACAAATGCTTAGCATGTTTACCTAAAGTCCCAAGTAGAAAAACGCTCAGGTTTTAGCAATCTATTCTCACATTATACCCTAAATCCATGGTACCCCACCTAGATGTCAAAGTACCAGATCTCTTGATGTACATGCCTGCAATCTGGATTGCTGCTCAACAGACAAGTATTGTGCCTGTTTATGAAAAATACATACAGCTCCTGCTTTATTTGTGTTTGTCACTAAGGTCTGATGTGGGAGGGTCTTCTATCTATCTGTTGTTTCATCGGTTATTTAATAAAGAAACTGCTGGCCTGATAGGGTCAGAACATAGGTGGGTGGAGTAGACAGAACAGAATGCTGGGAGGAAGAAGGCAGTGAGACAGTAGCCATGCCTCTCCTCTCCAAGATGGACGCAGGTTAAGATCTTTTCCGATAAGCCACCACCTTGTGGTGCTACACAGATTATTAGAAATGGGTTAATCAAGATGTGAGAATTAGCCAATAAGAGGCTAGAACTAACGGGACAAGCAGTGTTTAAAAGAATACAGTTTGGGTGTTGTTATTTCAGATGTAAAGCTAGCCAGGCGGGAGCCGGGCTGGAGGAAAAGCAGGCCTGCTCGCCTCCTCACTACAAAGGTCTCTTCCATCATCAGATGGATGCTTTGTATTCCACTGTAGTAGCATTTCAATTGTATTTTAATAAATAAGACTGCCTGAACATCTGAGAGTGAAACAGTCCCACTGGTCTTACAGACCAGGTTATGGTTACATACACCTTTAATCCCAGTAGCCACACTAGTTGCTATAGAAATCGAATGGTGCATGCCTTTAATCCCAGCCCTAAAGAGAATTATAAAACGGGAGGAAACAGCTCTCAATACACAGTCTCATTCTGAGATTTGGGAGGCAGGATCGCCATCTCAGACTGAGGTGGAGGTAAGGGCCAATGGCTGGATGTTTGCTTTTCAGATCTTCAGGTTGAACCCTAATTTCTAACTCTGAGTTTTTACTAATCATGCTTCATTCCACACTGCAGTTTTGCCATAAATAGTGTATTCTTTTCCTACTTGCGATGGAGTTGATCGCCCTTAAGGTGTAGGGGTTTTATGACATAGCTCTGTCTGGGAAAGGTTAGAAGCAAAGCTCTTAACAGGACATTTCTGTTACTTTCTGGTATTTTATGCTCATGCCAAACCCACCAAAACAAATCGTGCCCTCACTCACGTCCCCTGCTCCTTTCCTCAAACTTTAAATCTTCTTCAGAGAAACTCACCCACCTGATCTTACAGCTCAAAAGTTTCCAATTTAGTTATTCTCAACTGCACTGAAACTCCTCCATGGCTCAGCCTCTTCTGGAAAGAGGAGGCTGGTGGCCGTCAACAGTTAGTAAGACTTATTGCATTATTTGTAATGGTGTGGCTATACGTCTTTGTCTGTGCAGGAGGATGTGTACACAAGTGCAGGTGCCTGTGGAAAGCATAGACGTCAGCTCTCCCTGGAGCTGGAATTATAGGACATTGTGAACTACCCCACATGGATGCTGGGACCAAACCTGGGTTCTCTCAAGAGCAGTGTACACTCTTAACTGCTGAGTCATCTCTCCTATCTGAAACTTCTATTTTAAATCTTATTTATTACCACATGAAAAACAGACAAATTAATAACAATCCAAAATTCCAGGGGAAACATAGCAAAACTAGTTGATATCTACCATAAACCCAAAATACAACTGGCTGTGACCACTTAGCAACCAGGAGACCTAAATAGTGTTAGCACCTATGTGCAGAAAAGCCCAAGATCAGGAACACCTGACATGTGTGGGAAGAAAGAGAACCTCCAACTAGCTGACAAATACACCCTGAACATTTAATGAGTTAATTGAAAAGCAGGACCTAAAGCCTGGAGGGGCTGGTCTGCTCCAGTGTGAGATAGAAAGGAACTAGAGCAGTGCAGCCAATCATGGCTCCCTTTTCTAATAAGAGCACACTAACGTGAAAACATAGATAGAGCAATGAAACTGTGGATCACATGGAAGTAACTCATTACCTTGAGAGCTGGTAAGAAAGAGAAAACCCACTCATGCTGTCTTTCTAATAAGAACTGTGCAACTGAGAAACCAAACAGTAAACAATAAACATTTATACAGTAAGTATTGCAGCTTGTGAGCTGGAGAAATAGTTCCCCAAGTAACAGGTCCTTACAACCAACCTGAGTTCAGTTGCCAGCACCCACATGGTAGCTCACAACTGTCCATAACTCCAGTTGGAGGGGTCCAATGCCCTCTGGTCTCCATGGGCACCAGGCATATATGTGGTATATGAATATATATTTCAGTGAAACGCAGTCCTAAAAACTAAAGCATTACAGCTAATAACTAAAACACATCTGGTTAAAATGTTCCATTTTGCAACCCCAATGAATTGCCGACTCTAAACATTGTACAGCCACATAGCTGTACTCTGCAGAAGAGACACCTAGATAGTATGTGCTACTCAATGAAAGAACACTCTACTACCAATAGCTGTGCCAAAGGGATGACACCTGAGTCTGATGAAGCCTGGGGTCCAGCTGTCAATTGAGAAAACATACAAAGGGCAGAGCGTGGTGAGCTGTACTAAGAGTTTAAAGTCAGTTGAGTCCAGGCTATGAGAAACGCTGAGACAAATGAAAGGAAGAGGCTGGGCAGAAGATGCAGCGAACAGAGTGCTGCTTGTTGTGAGAATGTGAGGACCAGACATGGCAGCCTCAGCATCACATAAATCTAGGCGGATATGGTGGCCTGCTCGGACTTCCAGGACTTAAGAGACAATGACAAGGGATCTCAAAGCAAGCTAGCTCACTAGAATAGTCACATTAGCAAGAGCTTGGTTCACGTGAGAGACCCTGCTTCAGTAGATAAAGTGAAGAACGACTGGGAAAACACCAGGCATCAACATCAGCCATCCACAATATACACACATGCGCCCAAGCACACACACATGAGCATAAACACATGTGACCATACACATACATACACACACACACACACACACACACACACACACATACCACACAGATAAGTAAACAAACCTATATTAAAAAGACTAGAAGGCATTCATGTTTTTAAGTTGGCAAGACTAAGCTATACAAGAATATACATATGCAGGAAGTTGATTACCATAGACATCAGGAGGCCAGGGAGGACCTGGCTGCAGTTCTGAGGCAAATGGAGGGGTCTGGCTGTGACAGTCCTAGCCACTTCCATGGTAGGTGTTACACAATCATTCACCTTGAAACAATGCATTACATACAGACTTGTCATTTGTTTATATGAAAAAGCTTCAAAAATGAAAGATGTCTTTCATTTTTGGAAGAATGTCTTTCAAAACACCCCTTCTCTCCATTCTAAAGTCTCACCTTTAGTCTAGGCCTCTTATTCCCCCTTTTAAAATTTACACAAGGAGAACATGTCAGATCCTCAGATCTGGAGTTACAGACAGTGGTGGGCACTGGACATGGGTGCTTGGAACCAAATTCGGGTCCTCTGTAAGAATAAGTACTCTTACCTACTGAGCTGTTGTCATGGTTCCAGGCCTCAACTTTTACTTGAATAATTACAATAGTCTCTGAACTTGATATGTTGTTATCTTAGATGGGACTCCTCACCTGGCATGCACAAGGTCCTGTACTTTTTCTTCTATGTTATCATTTACTAGCTTCTAGCATACTGTCAATCAATTCATTTCCTATGTTTATTGGAAATGTATATGTCTCATTGTTTAATGGCAAGCACTACTAGAGCAGCTATCTTTGAAACTAAAATACTTATTTTCACAAAGAACATACATAATACATGCTTACTGAATGAATGAATGAATGAATGAATGAATGAAAACCAACATCTCCTTTTCCAATCTGCTTGCTAGTGCTTTCTTCCTAAAACATAAGTCTGCCCTTGATTTGGGATTCCCCTCTGTATGCTGTAAATATCACTGGTTAATAAAGAAGCTATTTTGAGCCTATTGCAGTGCAGAATAGGGAAAGGCAGGAATTTCAAGCTGGAGGTGCATGTGCTCCATGCCTGGTGCTCATGGAGACCAAAGGGCATTGGAACCCTCCAACTGGAGTTATGGATAGTTGTGAGCTACCATGTGGGTGCTGGCAACTGAACTCAGGTCTGTTGTAAGGACCTGTTACTTGCGGAACTATTTCTCCAGCTCACAAGCTGCAATACTTACTATATAGAGTCAAAGAGAAGCTATGTAGACACTGCAGGAGACAGACGCTGAATGGGAACTTACCGGTAGGCCACAACCACATGGCAATACAGAGATTAATAAAAATGGACTAATTTAGGAAATAAGAGCTAGCCAATAAGAAGTGAGAGCTAATAGGCCAAGCAGTCTTAAAATAATACAGTTTCTGTGTGATTATTTCGGGTCTGGGCAGCCGGAAAACAAACAAACAGTCTCTGCCTACATGCCCTGGCTGTGGCTCTCCAGACATACAAAGGAGTCTGAAATTTTCAACAGGCATACATATCCCTTTACAATGTAAATCAACTTTATCCCTATGGATCTAATGCTGGTACTGCTTGACCAAACTAAAGATGTCCTCAATTTCTCATCATGGTACACACTAGTCATGGTAAATTATATCCAGTGAGCCCACAACTGTAAATACCTTGAGGGCTTCAAGCCTTTGTTTATGTCATTTCCTTAGGAAAAAATGCTCCCTCATCACAATCTATAGTAGCTTCCAAAGCCTCCTTCCCAGGTCCCCTAGCACAGACAGCACCACATCCTCCATGGCA